AACTCAAGGGTATGGGCTGATGCTTATTAACTCCATATCCTCTCTCTCTGTCTCTATATTTCTGCTCATTTGTCTTATACAATGGTTCTTTTCACAATATAGGTTAAATGACTGACAATAATCTTTCTTATATCCTTTTAAAATTCATAACTAACCAGACATCTTGAAAAGGATTTTATATTTCTATCTATATTATAACATTAAGGCAGGACACATCTATTTCATTCCTTTCTTAGAGGGCAGTGTTTATTATAGTGTGGCCATTTGAGATACCACTCAAAATTCATATTCCTGGGGCTATCCTTGGGCAGCGGGTAAGAGAATTTGTATTCAATGCACCTAGGAACACATTGCTTCAAATCTCTCAATGGCTGTGCTGCAGTGACATGCATCAAAACTTTATAGGTATTACATTATATTATTTTGATTGTTATGTGATGGGACCAGTTTTGTTTTTAGGAAAAACAAAAGATGCTCTTTTCTTTTCAGAAAACTTAAAAATAACTCTGCTCTCTATGTTGGAAAAATAGATATTTTGTGATTTCTTTTCTAAAATTGGCATTATTTATTTTCTACTAGACAATAATTTCCTTATTATAAAAATTTGAGTATATGGATCTTTTAAACCAATGCTTCTACTGTCTGCAAGTTTGTTGTACTATGGTGGTTTGTGTGTTGCTCTAAACCAATGGTTCTCAACCTTCCTGATGCCGTGACCCTTAATAGTTCCTTATGTTGTGGTGACCCCCAACCATAAAATATTTTTGTTGTTACTTCATAACTGTAATTTTGCTACTGTTACGAATCGGATGACCCCTGTGAAAGGGTCATTTGACTCTCAAAGGAGTTGCAACCCACAGGTTGAGAATCGCTGCTCCAAACCATGCTACCCGTACTTCAAATACAAGTAGAGTCACCCATGTTGGCAGGTGTTCACAGAGTCCAGATTAAGATAAACTAGGAAGAAAGGCTAGGTGACTACTTTCTAAAATGTAGCTAATGAAAACCTTAAGGATCACAACTGAACATTGTATGACTGACTTGCTTTGACTACATCATCAAGAGGGTTCAATCAGTGTGGAGGAGAGGGCCAGTGAGCATAAGGGAACCAGTCAATGAGGCGGATGGCATAGAGGTTAAAACAATGGACTTGAACATGTCAGTGATCATCAGGACAGCACAGGACTGGACATTTCATTCTGTTATACATAAGGTTGCCATGAGGCAGAATAGATTCAAGGGCAGCTATCTCTATCTATCTATCTATCATCTATCTATCTATCTATCTATCTATCTATCTATCTATCTATCTATCTATCTATCTATCATCTATCATCTTTATGTCTGTCCTTTTGTCTTAATCTGATGAATTGTCTTTAGAACACATTTGTTAAAAACCAATATTTATTGTTTCAGAAGGTAAACCGAGAGCTAGATATAATAACTTCTGTTGCTTTCCATTGTTCAGGATGATTGAAGGTGACATATGAAAGGATGTCAAAAAACTCATGGAAAAATTCCATTATCTTTTAATTCAATTTTCCCACAAACGTTTGGAAACTTCCTTTTGCAATTTAAATCATTTATGATTATGTTAACTGCTTACACTAATGCTTTGGAGATATCTATCTAAATATAATCAATAGTTCTTTTGACTTCCTTAAGAAATCATGATTTTCAGCCTTACTCTCGCTGCTGCTTGGCAGTGGTAAACTACAGATTATAAGGCTGAGGAGAGTGTGGCTGATCTTTGCAGTAGGAACCCATAGTTATTGATCTAACAAGTAAGCTTCAATGAGTAATAAGATTGTTTAAAATGCTCTTTTAATACACATATCTAAGGATAACCTGAAGCCCTTACTTAGATTAGAGAGCCGTTCCTAGGATCCTTGAATTTCAATTTAGCATAACGGAGGAAACTTTTTTATTATGGTCACTGGTGAGTAAGTTCCAGTAGTCACTTCCACATAACTGCTGTTTTATCTTGGTCCTTTATCCTTGAGATTGAGGTAGGACTTTATGATGTATAAACTATGATGTGGGAATATTTTTCATTTGAAATAAAGGTGACTAAAGAATGATTGATTGAAATGATAATTGTGGGCTCAAACAAATCAGAGTCCAATTGTCTGATACAGATTCTACTGAGGTCAAAATGACTTTACCATGCATAAGTGAGTGTTAGCTTGCTGAAAGTGGAGAATGAACTGGCTGTTCCAAAGAGCCACGAACACATTATGAAACTGAGGACAATATAGGTCATGTTTGCAACACTGAACTCAGAGTTATTGTCTGTGGTTCAGGGTGACAGTGACCATAATCCTATGACTAAAAATTAAAGAATTGTGTTCAGTGACTTTTACTGAATACCACTTTATTGTAAATAATAAATGAGATAAAAGTCTCTCCTTGGGGAAGGAAAGATCTAGGAACAAGGTAAAGAGGAGCTTGCTACCCACTTGACGGTAGGCTTCTAACTGCACCAATAACAACAAATGCGAAAGGAACTAGAGAACTCTGTGTTGGGTGTGGAGGAAGGCCAGAGGATTTGCTAGTACAGGGTGTAATTCTATCCCCCACAATAAACTGAAAAAAAGAAGAAAGATAAAAGATAAAGAAGAGCTCTCTTCCCTGCTCTATCCCATTTATTTTATTCTTTTTAGTTTATTTCAGTACAAATGTACTGTGCTCCCTGTTAGGCATTGCGTTAGCAATGGGAATACAGAAAAGATTAAGATTTGCCTCATATGATTTTTTTTGCTTCATTGAGATTATAATACATGTATGTTGGCAGTGAGTTTGGTTTTGGGATCACACAGTTTACCTATTTAATGGATAAAACAATGTTTTTAAGCAAATTTATGAAGTTCATAATAGTTAATCTAGTTCAAGGCTCATAGCAACATTTTTGCTTCACAGTTTCTCCAGTCTAGAGAGAAGAAAAACCTTGGCCCTAATCCTAGGTAATTTCCTTCAATGATAACAGCAATAATGATATTAATAATAATAAAACAAACTCACTGCCAGTGCATCAATGCTGACTCATAGCAACCCTTTAGGAGAGAATAGAACTGCCCCTGTGCTTCCAAGCCTTTCTGGGAGTTACAAGCCCTGTCTTTCTTCCTTGGAGCAGCTGGTGGTTTCAACAGCCACCATCTCTCTGACGTCTGGGGGAAAGAGGAGGCCGTCCGCTCCTGCAGAGAGTTACAGTCTTGAAAACCCTGTGTAGGTTCACTATGTGTCAGAAATGATCAGTGTGTTTCGTCTCTGTGAGGTCAGCCTAGCGTTTTACAGGTGTTCTCTTACCGTATGCTCCCAGAAACCCTGAAAATAAGTTTGATTCTAATATTAAATAAAATGACAGTAATATCTAAGTACCCGACATTTATTGCATGCAATTACTATCTCAGTATTATAAGAAACTTAGCTCTCTAGACTCTACTTTGCTCACCTTTATCTCCATCAGTTACCAGCACTGCATCATTTGCCTCATGCTTGTGTTGTCAGTGTGCCTCTGGAAACTTGCTGGGCTTCTTTGTGGTAAAGAATATAAAAGCAATTAGGATTTTTAAGCTTCTTCTTTTTTTTTTTTTTTCCTGTTGGTGTTTTTTTTAAAACATTTTATTAGGGGCTCATACAACTGTTATCACAATCCATACACACATCAATTGTGTAAAGCGCATTTGTACATCATTCTCAAAACATTTTCTCTCCACTTAAACCCCCAACATTAGGTCCTCATTTTTCCCGTCCCTCCCCACTCCCCCCTCCCTCATGAGCCCTTGATAGTTTATAAATTGGTATTTTGTCATATCTTGCCCTGTCCGACGTCTCCCTTCACCCACTTTTTGGTTGTCTGTCCCCCAGGGAGGAGGTCACATATAGTTCCTTGTAATCGGTTCCCTCTTTCCTACCCATTCTCCCTTTACCCTCCCTGTTTTGCCACTCACACCACTGGTCCTGTAGGGTTCATCCGCCCTGGATTCCCTGGATTTTCAGTTCCTATCTGTACCAGTGTACATCCTCTGGTCTAGGATTTTTAAGCTTCTGATAAGAATTCCAAAACCCTATATGCTTCATTTCACACATTTATTTTAGGTAGAGAGAGACAACACTTATACACAGACAGATATGGTAAATGCAAGCCTACAGAACTCTGTCATCATTTGTTTGCTACTTCTAACCTTTGGTTATGATCTAGAGAGACAAGCAGCTCCTTTCTGTAAATGGTCACGTCTTTGTTATTTCAATTTAAGTTTTGTTTTTTCCTCCTCTGCTAATGGATCTAAACTTTATACCAGTGAACTAACTTCTCGATGTGAATGTTTCTGTAACAAACATGTAGTTTTGTAAAAGAATGTTTTAAAACACTGCATGAAAAAATACATGTAAATATTTGCTGAGTGGCAGTGGTAAGGGGTAGGAAGAAGCTTCTGTGACTTTGGATAGATGCGTAGCCAAAAGAATGCTTTTTCCTCCAGCCATAAACCTATTCCGATTGGCTAACTTTCTAGTACTGGTTTAGATATTTTATATAATTCCTGGTCAACAATTAACATAGCGATTGAAGCTAATCTTTCTGCCAGTTCTAGTTGTAAAGGGTGATATTTTTGCATTGACATATTTCTTAGTGTGTGGGAAGATTGTTAAAATTAAAAAAAAACAAAAAAATTTCCAATCCTAATACATTTTCATAGCATCAGAAAATGTTTTAATGAAGGGTGCAAAGGAGTGAGACACTTGAGCCGGCTTTAAAGTTAAGGTTTTCTGATTTGGTTTGATTTTAGAACCGCTGAGTCTGCTGTACAATTTTCAGAAACAAATCAGTGCCCGTGGACAATTTTTAAATCATTGTTTCTTCAGTGTGTAGTATTGTTAAGCAGATATTATTATTATTTGTTAACACAGTTTATTTGTTCCACTTAAGCGTCGTATCCTATCATTTTGAGTTTGCGAAGAAACCCCTTTTCTAATGGTTTTCTTTTCTTTTCTTTTCCTAGGAATCGGAGAATAATAAATTATGTTCCCTATATTCGTTCCGAAATACCTCTACCTCACCACATAAGCCTGACGACGGGAGTCGGGACCGCGAGATAACGACCAGTGTTACTTTTGGAACCCCCGAACGCCGCAAAGGGAGCCTTGCCGATGTGGTGGACACCCTGAAACAGAAGAAGCTGGAGGAGATGACGCGGACGGAGCAGGAGGGTACGTGGGGACTTCACTGTGGGGCGTTCTCTCTGCCAGGGATTCCAGGCCTTAAAAAAAAAATGAGTGGGGCTTCAAGGACCAGAGAAGTGCACAACTGGCACTAGCTAGAAAAAGTTATTCAGAGGTTACCATGGTGATGGCCGATTGTGATCCATTAGGAGTGTTAAGCAGATAGCTATGTTTCTCAGAAACTTGGTGCATTTTATGTGGTTCTTATGATAACAAATCAAGGCTTTATACTGATTGTAAGCATCATCCTGAAAAAAAAAAGGGACTATGGGAATTTCCCCAGAGAACAACTTTATGTTTCATTTATTTTCCTCTGTTTCCTTTGAGTTCATAACGATATCTTGTGTGTAGAAGCAAAATACAAAATTATTTCCCTCATTTGTGTAACTGTTTTTATTGTTTTACCTTTAAACTTTGTGGAACTGAGAACTGAAGATTTTTAATATGGTAAGGCTAAATGCTGAAGGGGCCAGGGGTAGATGGCTGTGCCTGGTGACATCCACAGCAGCACGTCACGTCCCCTCTACTTTCTGCACAAGAGTTACATAGGGCTGCCTCCATCCTGAAACACAAAAACGAAAGAAGACTCATTATTGACATTTTAAAGTAAGTCAGGTCTTAAGTGACTGATAAGCTCTGTGTGTGTGTGTGTGTGTGTGTGTGTGTGTGTGTGTGTGTACGCCGAGTAACACAGATTTTAAGCTATACAGTACAGAGTAACCAATGTTTGGGGATTTATTACTAGAATTGTTAGTGAAATTTAGACCTCTTTGACACTGTAGGGGAATGGAAATTTGATATAGATTATTTTCATGTAGTGAAATCTTATTCCTTTAAGGGCTCAAAATTCTTAAAATTTCTTATTATTTTTGGGGAGGTGTCTTTTAAAAGACATCTTTTTTTTCCTACTAATCAGATTATATAGCACAAAATGTAAACAGATTTGATGGTTCAGGACATGTGGTAAACTCAAAATTCAGACTCACTGCCATCGAGTGGATTCCGCCTGATAGCAACCTTATAGGACCAGGTAAAACTGCCCTTGCGAGTTTCCAAAATTCCAACTCTTTATGGGAGTAGAAAGCCCCATCTTTCATTTGTGGAGTTGCTGGTGGTTTCGAATTGCTGGCCTTGTAGTTAGCAGCCCAATGTGGTTAGCAGCCCATGTCCCGGACTCCTAGTATATAGTCCTGGTAAATTTTTCAACTTCTTCAAGCCATGAACTTTTAAATTGGTATGGTACAAATGCCTCTCTTGATAACTCAAAAAATTTGAAAACTAATTATAATAATTAATATAAAAGTCTCTTAAAACTGTAGAACTATAAATTTTAGATGCTATGATTAGTATATTATAAATGTCAATTCTTTTACTGTGCTATAATGAAATGATGCCCTAAGAGATCTTTGAGATGATTAGGGCTATTTAGCTTTATGATCACTTCCTCATAATTACTAAACTTAGGAGTTCTTGTACATAATTATCTATATCTATTTATCTCACTCTCTAGCTCTCTGCCTATATCACTTGCTATCTCCCTACATATCTATATATGTATCTGTATTCATTTCTGTATCCATATCTGTATATCTATATCTATATGAACCCTGGTGGTGTAGTGGTTAGGTGTTGGACTGCTAACCTCAAGGTCAAAAATTAACAGTCACCAGCTCTGGAAGAAAGATGAGGCGTTCTACTCCGGTAACAAGTTACAGTCATGGAAATCCAAAGAGGCAGTTATTCCTTGTCCCAGAAGGTCACTGTGATTCAGAATTGACCCAATGGCGATGAGTCAATGACCTATGTATGTATGTATGTATGTATACACACACACACACACGCCAATGGCAGTGAGTCAATGACATATATATGTGTGTACACATTCACAATGGCAGTGAGTCAATGACCTATGTATATATATGTATATATGTATATATATACAATGGCAGTGAGTCAATGACATATATATACATAATGGCAGTGAGTCAATGACATATATATATATACACACAATGGCAAAGAGTCAATGACACACACATACACGCACACACACATATACAATGGCAGTGAACCAATGACATATATATATATATATGTATATATATACACACACACACACAGTGGCAGTGAGTCAATGACCTATGTATATGTGTGTGTGTGTGTATAGTGAGTCAGTGACCTATGTAAAAATACATATATACACACAATGGCAATGAGTCAATGACACACACATATACGCGCACACATATATATACAATGGCAGTGAGTCAATGACCTGTGTGTGTGTGTATGTATATGTGTGTGTATATACACACACACACACAATGGCAGTGGGTTAATGACACACACACACACATATATATATACACACAATGGCAGTGAGCCAATGACATAGATATATAGATATATATATACACAATGGCAGTGAGTCAATGGCATATGTATGCTATGTTGTTGTTAGGTGCCATCAAAATGGTTGATTCATAGTGATGCTATGCATAATAGAATGAAACAGTTCTGCACAATCCTGTTGAGGATGTTCCTTTGCTTGAGTCCATTGTTGCAACAACCGTGTCAATAAATCTCATTGAGAGCCATCTTATACACATATATGTATGTATGCATGTATATATACACATGGATCAATACATACATATACCTATACAGATACAGATACAAAAATATATATCACAGATGCACTCCTGGCACACACATATCTTTTTGATATAGATGTATTTCTTCTTTTGGTGTGTGTGTGTCTATGTGTGTCTTTCTCCTCCTCCTATAGCCGGTCATGCTGCTACTTATTACTTTGTTGCAAACACTTTCTAATGTGCTTCTTTCAATTACACAGAGTCTAAATTTAGATGTTTACATTCTGGACCATATAGGAAATGTGATTCTAGTGTTCTGAGCAAGTTGCTGAGAGAGTTGCTGATGGGTAACTTTAGTGCTTGGACTTGGTGTTGACTCTTTGGGTGGCTGGGGGACGTTATTTTGTTGGTTTTCGACTATGTTCTCAACCTTCCTAATGCCATGACCCTTTAGTACAGTTCATCATGTTGTGGTGACCCTCCAACCATAAAATAATTTTTGTTGCTACTTCATAACTAATTTTGCTACTGTTATGAATCAGGTGACCACTGTGAAAGTGTCATTCAGTCCCCAAAGGGGTCATGACCCACAGGTTGAGAACCGCTGATCTAGAATAACTGAGGCTGCCAGGTCAATGATCTCTTAGTGACTTGCATTGCTAGGTAAATTTTAATTGTGATTCACACTAAAAATATCATTTCAGTCCTATAAATACATTGTTTTCTAAATGCTTTAGAGGATATTTAGTGTAAACAATTTTTTGTGATTTCCCTCCCTACCCACACCCCACCTATCTTTCTGGACTAGTAGGGAATTTAAAGCTCTAAATTTGAAAGTGGCATATGAGTTTCTGGAAATTGAATGAAAAGCTATTCTATTTTGTCCATGAACTTTTTGAAGCTTTGTAGTGGTCAGTTAGGAGCTCTGGTTATACATCTGTTAAGTGCTTGGCTGGCTGTTAACTGAAAAATTGGTGGTTCGAACCTCCCCAGAACCTCCAGAAGAGAGAGATATGGTAGCCTTGAAAACCCCATGGAACACTTCTATCTTGTCACGTGGAGGTTTTATGAGTCAAAATTGACCTGGCAGCTTCTAATATTAACAAAGTTATTTTATTTCTGCAAGTAACTGTTACTTATAGTTTTATAGAAAAAAACAGGAATTAATAGTTTCCTATATTTTCTCTTCATTATGCAGATCTCATTATATATTTTATTCAGAGCGACTCTTACAAGATTAGACTACTCTTTTGAGTCCTTCACTAATTCCTACTAGCAAAGAATTTTTAAAACCACTCTTACAGAACTTTGATTGTATGCGATAGTACATATATTTTAGACATCATTAATAAGGACTTTTGTTATTAATGTAATTGGAAGTGATAAGAAGCATGTTCATGAAAGGTACAGATTCCATATAATATATGAGAGAAATAAAACTCAAAATGTTTGGACAAACTAAAAATAGGAACTTAAACCCAAATCCCCAAGATAAAATTGAGTAGATTCTACTTTTTAAGTTCAGATATAACCAAAACCTTTAGGTGCAGAAGTAATGATTACAGAAATTCAAATAGTAGTCAGTGAATTCAAATAGGAATCAATAAGGGGCGGTGGGTGGAGGTGCTTGAGTTTGAGTTGACAGAGAGTGCCATGGGGTCAGCATAGTGAACGTTGCTGTTGTTAGGTGGTGTTGAGTGGGTTCTCACTCACAGTGACCCTTGGCACAACACAATGAAACACTGCCCAGTCAGTCCTGGGCAGTCCGCACAACTGTTGCTGTGTCTGAGTCCAGGGCGGCAGTCACTATGTCAATCATCTAGTTGAAAATATTTCTAATTTTCACGGATTCTCTACCAAGCACAATGTTTTTCTTTAGCGACTAGCTCTTAGTTTATAAGCTTCAAAGAAACTTCTTTCATACTTGGACAGCTATGACTACTAGGCAGTTGGTTTTGATATTCTGTAAACCATAAATCGGTCCTTGTAATTCTTTATCATTGATCTGCATTCTATATAGAATAAACTAGATAGAATAAGCTCAATCCCTCCTCCATGTGACTTTAAAGACAATTATCATGTCACCTTTGATCCTCTTTTCTCTAGGTTAATATTACTAATTCCTTCAACCTTTCCTCTTATTAAAGAATCTCCTGTCTGTCATCATGCCAGTTGTTCTTCTCTGTGCTGCATTGCTTTTAAGTAGAGTAATTCTGAATGCAACATAATACTTAAGATGCATTCTACTGAGCAAAGGGTTCAGCAGAACTGCTACTTATCAAATGCTAGATACTACACTATTAATGGCAACTGAAATAGAGGGGCAATGTGGAGGTCAGAGTCACACGGAGAAGAACACAGCATCAGGATGGGAGGGAGACTTCTTAACAACCT